TTCCCTGTCTTCATGATGTGTTGGATGGTGGAGACCAAACTGTGGTCTGTTTTGTTGCATCGTCCTTCTGAACACAAAGCTTTTGAAGCCAGTTTTCTTCTTTGTTTTTCTGCTGGTGTTTGTTAAATGTAAGAATTTGTACAAGTATGCATCTATCTTTTTAACATCTCAGCAATTAATTGTTTGGGGTACCTCTGGGGAACTGTGTCATCTCACTACTTGTACTGGAGATTTTATTCTGTGAGCCAACAAAATTTTAAATCCCAGCTTTCCTCCTCGAGGCCTTCATCTGCCATAGGGAGATGGAAAGACTGGTTTCCTGTTTGAGATATGGGAAGAAATAGTTTGAGTTTTATGCACATAGTGCAAAACTTGTAAATTAAGAAAAAGCTGAACATTTGAATACCAAAATGTGACAGCAAGCATAACACAGAACAGCATTTGTTGGCAAAAGTACTTGGCAAAGTGCTTTTAGCAACTTAGTTTTACCAGGATTCCTGGTAATAAGATTAACACAGTCTTGCATTTCTTCACAATGACTGAAAGTGTTCTCAACAAAAAGGCAGGTGAACTCTCTGGGGCTCTTCTATGCCCTGACACTTGGTGGGACGGTGGGGAAAGAAACAGGAAAACTCTGTGCTTTGGTGAGAGTTTTGTCTTTGATTTCTGTGGTTTAGTGCCTGATCCTCAGTGCAGGACATCTGGATGCAGCTCATCAATCTATCCTTACCTTGAGCAGGGAAGTTAAGGAAATTTAGATGTGAACACAGCTAATGGCTATCAGAAGTCTCGGGCTGTGCCTGGCTTCAGTTTGTGTAAAAAAAAGATGCAGAGAAACTTTTTGGTTTATTTAACACATTTTTGTTTTCCACGTTTGAGAAAGTAAACTGTGGAACAAAGATTAGTGGAAGAGGGCCAGAATTTTTGCCCATTAACTTAAGGAGCTACTCCTGTCCTGTCTGCCCTATTTGCTAAACACCAAGCTGCCATAATGTTTTTCATAGTTAAGCTATGTATGTTTTTTTTAAAAAATATTATAGTACTTTAAAATAATGGAATATGGAATTAGAAAGTTTTCTAGCTGTTTTTGGTCATCCAGAAGATATAGCTGTAATCTCAAGAATAACTTGTATTAGTTTTCACATGTTGAGAATCTATCACCAAAAAATCTGTGTGATTGCACATAAATACATACTGATAAGCATGAAGCAGTTTTTTCCCTTCTAATCATTTTATGTCAAAGCTTCAAAAAGTGATTTACAAGGTAAGAATAAATATGCTAAATTTATCTTAAGAGACAACACTTGCATTTGTAAGCATCTGAAAAAGAAGCTTGGAGTGGAAGTAAGCTGATAGATAGCTGTCATTGGTTTGGCTTAAAATTATTTTCTTGGTGTTGTGGCACTGAATTTATTCTGGATAAAATCATAGAATCTTAGAATCTTAGGGGTTGGAAGGGACCTCGAAAGATCATCTAGTCCAACCCCCAAAAATGCTGCCATGGAGCAGGCTCTCCTGTGGAGCCTGGGTAGAGGGCTCCATTTCTCCAACCTATTATTCCTTACTTCTTTGATCTCCTGACCCCAGCTTTCTGCAGTGACCAGGCTGCTCACCCCAGGCAAGAGGTGCCATTTGCCCTTCTCTTTGCAAATTCATCACCCTTGTGTGCCCATCACCTGAAAATTCCTCATCTTTTTATTCCCATCACTGGCTCTTCTCTGGCAGGCTCTCCCTCTCTACAGTGCTACTGGGCAGCAGTGGTTCCCTTGCACATCCTGGTGCTCAGGGATGACCTCTCACCATCTCGTGGAAGTGGGACCCAAGGGGTGGGTTGGCCGTGATGTCCAGGAAGCCATTGTAAAACCAGCCAGCACTCCTGGGGGTAACGTTCACAAGTCACAGCAAATATGTTGGATGTTTGTGAAGTTGTAGAGCTGAGGGGAATTCATAATGATATTGGACAACTGAATGTATACCAGCAGTGCTTTTTTCTTCCAGGCACCAGGGAAATTTGGAGTTGCAATTTATTCCCTTTCTCTGGATAACTTTTAGATTTAATGAGCCTGTTTGGGGTGGGGATTAAGTA